CGATCTATAATAACGTAAACTTAAGTAAAAAACCTAATAATCCCTCTTAAATCTATAACGGTTAAAAAAATAATATATACCTTATACATAAAAATATAAAACTACCTAATAGCCTTTAATAAAAAAGAGGTTAACTTAACTTAATTAAATCTAAATTCCTTTATAAAATAATATAAAACTAAATTACACTCGGTATCGGTATCTAAATTATAAAACGTTTATAAAATACTTTTAGCGCTTTTAGCTTATATAAGAATATAAAAACGAATATAAATCCCTAATAAAAAAAAAAGAATATAAAAACTCACTTCCCTCTTAAAGCTTTTTTTAAAGAATTATCCCCTATATTAACCCCTTAAATAACAGAAAAACCTTTATCTTTTCCTTATTTATTCTTCCCCTTATCTAAATAAGAATTAACTAAATACTTAATACTATTATAAATATAATACTATAACGATTTTCTATCTCTTCCTATTTAAAATCCAGAAGAGTTATTAATTAAAATCGAGGCTTATGTTATAAAACTAAAATTAAATTTACTTTTATTCCGGTTTTAATGCTTTTTATTCGGTTCTCGATCGTTATCGTTTTTATTTAATTTTCTTTTTTTTTTCTTAACTTATAACTTATTATATCTAATTAATAATAGCTACTATTTTAGCTTTAATTTTAGGGAAAATAAAGTTAAATTTATAAATACTTTACTAAAATTTATTTAATAACTTAATATAAAAAAAAAACACACGTTCCTTTTTAAAAAAAATAATAAACTCCTTTTTAAAAAATTAAAAATAAATATCGAAATTAATAAAATTTTAAAATTCTTTTTAATAAACCTAAATAATATCTTATATAATTTTAAGCTTATAGTACGTAACGTCCTATAATAAAAATCGAATCCATTTTAAAAAATAATTAAAATTAAGAGCTTTATTAACTTAATTATCTAATAACTTTTTAGTATATTAAAACTATTTTACTTAGTAATTAATATTTATATAATTAAAAATGAAAACAATTTTTATAATATCGGAACGAAATTTATAAAGCGTATTTAAAAAAACTTAATTAATATTTAAAACCTAATTATTTCGATAGTGAAAAATAGCTTTTTTTATAAACCTTTTAATATTTTTAATCTTAATTTCCTTATAATTAAAAAAAAAATTATTATTAAAACGATTTTATTAATTTAAAGCCTTAGTAATTCTTTCTATTAAAACGTTTTATTATAAAAAAACTAAATAAGATTATTATAAAGCTTTTTTAAATTAAGCGATCCGCTTTTTAAATACGGATTTAATATTATTACGTTAATTATTTAACCCCGCTTTTACCGGGTTTTTTATAAATATTCCGCCCGGCCTAATAGTAACATTAAAAAAAACCGCCTCCTCTAATCGTTTTATTATCTATATAAAATACTATTTTCATAAATAATCGTAAATAAAAGATTTAAAATTATAATAGATAGGTTAACTAAATATAAAATAATACTTTTAAAAAATAAGTCTTGTATTAAATAAAAGCTAAATCTTAGCCTTCCGTTACTAAATAATAAAAAGCTAGCTAAAAAGAGCCCCTTTTAGCTAAAACGGGGCCCGAATAGTCTATGGCGTTTTACGCCACACCGACCCTATAACAGTAGTGCTATAATCTGTTAGTCGTGTTTAATAAGAATATAGTTATAAAAACGAACTCAGTTTTGGTCATAGTGGTCTTTTGTTTCTTCTTCGACAAGGCTTCGTCGTTATTAATAGTCTACTTTCTTTTACTTTTACTTGTAATAAATAGTTACCTTAGTTTGATTGTTATTTTCTCCTTAATATAATCGTCGTCGGCGTTAGGTTCGGTCACGCTAACGTCGTCGTTAATATTGTTATCGTCGTCGTCGTTAATTACGTCGTAATTGTTAAATATAATAACTTTTTTATTAGTATAGTTAATACTCTAAGGGATAGGAGGGGGAGGCATATTATCGTCGTATTAAGCAGAAGGTGCGGCCATAGTTGTCGTTTTATGAGGTTTTGCTAATATATATAGTAGTAAGCCGAGTATAAATAGGTTATATATGTTTTAAAAAATTGCTTTAGCTTTAAATTATTTTGTAAGGCTATAATCCTTAAAACCCTTTAGTATAGGTAAAAGAGCTTATTACGACCTAACACGCATTGCTAGACTAGGGCCCTGCCCTATAAGACCTACGGCGGCTACTATACTATATATATAATAATAAAAACTCAAACGGCCTCCCTTAAGATAAAAGAATTATAAATAAGTTATATAATTATAATCGTATAATAAAATAAAAAACGGACGCTTATTATTAAGCGCTTTTATACGGTGAGAATAAAATAATATATTAATACCCCTTCCTAAGATTTTCCTATAGATTTCTTAACGAAATTTCTTAAATATATTATAGAAATTTTAGAGGAAACTTTTAAGAAATCTTGAGGATTTCCTCGTAATTTCTTTTAAAGAAACGGAGGAAATTTTAGGGATTTTCTTACGATTTTTTTTAAAGAAATCTTAAGGAAATCTTAAGGAAATTTTAGGCTTTTTTAAGTATTTCGTCTAAAGGAAATCTTTGGGAAATCTTAGGAATTTCGCGGCCTTCTCTTCCTTAGGTAACCGTATACGAAAGATAGGAAATCTAGTTATAGACCGTAATACTTATAAATAAATAAAATAAGCGATTATAAAAATATAAAACGAACGACCGTTCGGTAAATAGTCGAATAATAATAAATAAAATATTATAAAGGATATATTTATAATTAAAATTTATATATAAAATAGCCTAAGCTAAGCTTAAAGATAGATTTTTATAATTTCTTTAATAATTAATTTTTATATTAAATTTAATAATTATTTTTAGCTATTTTTATTAAAAATTTATTTAATAAGATTATGATTAATTACCGAAGCTTTACTTATCTTACGATTTATAAATAATAACTTTACTAAAGCTATTTTTATGACGATTATTATTTATGAATATCGTAGCCCCGACTTTTATTAATATAAACCTTATTACGATTAGCTAGCCGTAATAGAGCTATTGCTATTTATTTTGTAATATAAATAAAAAAAGAAAAAAAAAGTTTATAAAAGCGGCGGGTTAAAATATAAATATTAATTTAGTAGTTATATCTATATACGGAAAATATAAAATAGATCTTTAAATTTTAGAATATCTTTTACTATTCTTTATTAAAAAAATAACGTTTTATTAGGTTATATAAAATATTCTTTATTATATAAGTTTTATTATTAAATTACGATAATTTTATATAGAAGGTCTAGTTATTATTGGAATTCGTTACCGAAGCCTTTTAGTTATAATAAGAATTATAATTTACTTTTATTTAATCGTATATCAATAATTTTTTTAAGAAGGTTAGTTAGTAAGATATTTATTAATATAGGTAATACTCGTCCGTAGATATTAAATAATAATATTAGTTTAAAGTAGTTAATTGAAATTATGTTATAGATTTTGGCGTAGCTTAAGAGGTCTAATCGGTACACTAATCGTCTAATTTATTTTAAAATTATAAAAAAGTTAGCGTATTATCGTACGTATTTACGACTTAATACTGCGGTTTATAGTATTATATATCCGCGATATAAACGTAATATTATTCGTTATCCGACGTTAAAAAACTTTAATAGTTTTTTACGGTCGTAGTACGATTTAGTACGGATGGCGGCGATAGCGATAGTGTCGTAGGCTTTAAGTCGTGTTTCTAAGCCGGAAGGTATTTTATTAATCGTGTCTACGATGAGGTCGATAACGTCGTTTAGTATGAAGCCGAGAACTACTTTGTTTAGAGGTTTATTGGTAATAACGGATTTAGTATTGTTAATTTTAAACTATAATCATAGGATATTTTTAAGCTATTTGTTAAGAGACGTAAATATAATAATATATATTTATAAAGCCGATTCGATTATAAGATATATCCGCTTATTTTATCTATTTATTTATAAATAATAAACGGTTAAATAGAGTAGTCGGTTACTAATTCGTTTTTAAATATATATCTATATTATAAACAAAAATTTAAGATCTCTGTCGCTAAGAATGATCTTAAATAGACCTTAATTATATTACTATAAGAATTTAATTAAAAGGATTACCTATTTTTATACTATTATGTTTTTACGTCTAGGTATAAGACCGACTTATTTAAATATTTTATATATGGTCAAAAGAATATAATTATAGGAATTAATATAGAGGCATATAGAATTAATACAAAAGCATACACCTTACAGCGGCATATATATTTACTATCGTAATTAACTTAAAATTATAATATATTCCCGCAAAGGCGGTAAAGGTATTTATAATAATATTTCGATAACTTAATAACTCTAAAGCTCTTACTAAATAACATATACCTTAAATTATTCTTCGCAAGGTATTTATAAAGTCCTTAAAAGTAATAAAAAAATAAATAGATAATTATTTTTACTTTAACTTTAACGTTAACCTATAATAAATTATTTAAATAATAAATAAAACAATATAGTTATAAACTCTTTTATTCGCCGTTATTTAATATTATTTCCTATTTATTTTACCGTTTTTAAATATTAAATTATAACGGCTTTCTATTTATATAACCCCCTATTATCTTTCCTTTATTAAAAATATTAAACTAACTTCTTATCTATTATTAAAATTAATTTAAGGCTTAATTAGAGATTAAATAGCCGGCCCCTTATAAGCTCTTAGTTAATAATAATTTATTACGGCTTCTTAACGGGCGGCCTTACTTACGGCCGGTCGAGCCTTAATTATCCTGTATTACGGTGGTTTAGTATTAAGATTATTAGCCTTATTAAGGTAACATAAGCTCTATAAGAACTTACTATATTACGTTTTTTAGTTTACTATAGAGAGACGTTATAATTTTTAAATTTAAAATCCAATAATAAGGATTAAAAAAAAACGTTATTTAAAACCGCTACCGTAAGTAAACCTTTTATTTATTAAAAATCGACGATTTTATTATTTTTAAAAAAATCTTATAATAGTACGGGATATTTAGCTTAATTAATATAAAATAGTTATTATTATACTTTTTAATAAAGGATAAAAACGGCCTTTTTTTAAAAAGCATTACTTTACGTATAAGCCGGTATTACTTAATAATTAATTTAAAATATTTTAACAAAACTATAGTCCGAAGTTTATTAAAGTATTCTAAGCGGGGGCCGAGATAATCCCGGCCGGTAAGCACCTCGTTTTTTATATAAACTTAGCGAAAGCGTAGCTTTTAATCGCTAATTATGTCCTATATAACGTCGACGAGCTAATATAAATAATTAAAACCGTTAAAAAAGTAGCCTTTAATATTATTATTACTTAATTTAATATTAAAAGTAATACGAATATTAAAATTTTAATATTAATAGATAAAATAACGAGCCTATTATACTTTTATAAATAAGTATATTAAATATAAATACTATAAAATCGGGCGTTAGTCGTCGAACTTGTTACAAAACTTTCTCTATGCTTTTTTAAAAAATTACTTTATTTTAATAAAAATAATAAACTTTTATATAATAAATACCCTACGATAAGTATATAGGACAGTTTAATTTACCGTTATATTAATATAAGCGCGGTCTTTTTTACTAAGCTCCGTTATTATTTATATTACTAAATAAGGATCCTCTTTATTAAACCCACTATTATTATTATTATTACTGCCGATTTTAATTTATTTCTATTTAGCCTTAAGTATAATATTAAAATTAATATAATAAATATAAAGCTATTATTAAGTATGTAAAAACTCTTTACTAAATATAGCTTTTATTTACTTATTATAGTTTATAATAATAATTATAAAGCGACGAATTAAGTATTACTCGATTAGTTATTTTATATTTTTAAAGAGAAATCGGAAGCTTTTTAACCTTTCGTTATCGATAAGACTAAATACTATATTATAAATAAATCTAAAGCACGTTTACTTAATTATTTAGAATAGTAAAAGCTTAAAGCGATTAATATTATAAGTATTATTAAAGCTAATTACTTTTAGGAATCGCTTTTATATTTAAAAATAATAAAAAAAAGTCTAAATAAGCCTAATAAAGCGGTCCGGCTTATTATTAATCTACTTAATAATATAAGGAATTTATTGCTTATTAAATAACTTAATTAATATAACCGTTGGCGAATAACTATTTAGCTTTTCTTAATTTAAACGTACTCTAGTATTATAAATATCGCGCTAAGTAAATATAAAATCCGGGAATTATTTTTATATAATAGCACGGACGTTACGTACCTAAATGCTAATACGACGGCTTATATTTTTAATAAAATCCTTAATAAGCTAAGTAAGCTTTCGGTGTAAAGGGTAGGTAAATACTTTAAAGTTTAATTAATAATTATGTTAACTATAACAAAGGTCTAATAGGTAATATAAAAGCTATTTCTTTTCTTTTTACGCTTTTATAATTATTTATTATTAATAGCCGTACTTTTAAAACCTTCGTTATCGAATATTTATGCTTTTTAAAAGACCGGGTTTACTAAATTAATTATATTAAAATAAGTATTGTATAAGCCGACCTATCTAAAAAGTATATTTATATCGCTTTACGATATTAAATCCGTTAACTTTCGTAAATATATTAAATTAGTTAAAAAAGGCCTTTATAATAAGCTCTAGGCTATTTAAGATCGATAGGTTTAGGATAGCGTTTAAAAAAGGGGAAGAGGATTTCTTAAATTAAATATAATAAAAAGCTATAGTTTAGAAAGATAATAAATTTAAAAAAAGGTCTTATTATAAAAATAAATATAAAAATAGTAGGTTTATTTAAAAACCCTACGTCTCTTATTAATAATAACTTAGCTTATATTATTAAAAAAGGGCGGTCGTTAACTTTTTATTAATATTAATAATTTATTAAATAAGCTTAAAAATATTATTAAAATACTCTAAAATACGTTACTAAAAGTCTTAATAACTATTATCGAAAGACGATAAACTCCGCTTTAGCGAGATATAAAAAAAAATAATACGTTAAGTATTTTATATCCTTTTTAAAAAACGGTATGTAAAATAAAATATAGATTTAAAATGCTCGGTATTAGGAAGGGGGGCGCTATAACTAAGTAAGAATCGAAGTAATATAATAAATTAAAAAGAGTCGGTTTTATTAAGGAAACGGCGCTTAAAATAAAGTCTTAGTTTAATTCTAAAGTAATAGGGTTAATAGTAAAATAGTAGTTATGTTTTTTATAATAGCTCGGTTAATAAATCGCTAATTAAATTATTATATAATTAAAAATCGCTAACTTTATAAAATTAACTAATATTAAAATAACTACCGACTAAAAAAAAAGATAATAATATATCTATATATTAGCGTTTTAAAAAATATATTACGTTACTAAGGCTATATTCCGTAGCTCGGCGGCGTAGATTACACCGAGGTTTAGCTATTAAAAATAATATATATTAATATTAAATATAAAAACTACGATAATAAAAGAAATTTAAAATAAAGAGAATATATAGGAGTAGACCGGTAGAATCTAAATATATTAATAATAAAATTTTAAACTAATTAGGATAGTAGATATGTATACCGCTATAAGGTGCATGCCTCTGTATCAATTCTATATACCTCTATATCAATTCCTATAATTATACCTTTCTTTTAATATAAGCAAGCCTAAAATAAAATTAATAGTGATTATGTAATAAGGGCATAGGGTTAGCATAATCGGTTATATATTATTATATAGTCGGTATATCTTAATCTTTATTATTGAATAGGTTAGGTAATAAAAAAAATACTTTTTAATATTTTATATTAGTCGCGGTATATAATAGCCGGCTAATATAGTTACTATTTTATCGTAGCCGAAGTAATTTCTATCGTAAGCTGCTTTAAATATGTTGGTATAGTATATTCATAAGATATAAAAACGGTCTTATACGCTAGGCGTTATCTTCTAAAATAAGCCGTTGTATAGGATAAATAGGAGATCTGCTTAATTATTTTTTATTAAAGATAAATTATTACGGATAGTTTTAAATACGTTTTTAAATATCAAGTTAATTTCGTAACCATATCGGATTTTTTATTTAAAATCGGGGGCGATTTTTAATAGTATTATATTAATGCCGTTTTATGTAGCCAGAGGTATAACGTTGTGTAATTCCTATTAGTTATCGATTATTTATATTAGCGGTAATGTGAGTTGTTGTGCGTCGTCCGCAAGGAAGGCTAATTAGGACCAAGCCCACATTGCCTAGTCGTTAAGGGCGTTATTAAGCAAAATGTCGAGGCCGTTGTTAGTTGCTTTAAGTTTATTTAGTCCGGCGTCGGCTAGCAATTAAGATAATACGTCTGGTACGATGTGTTCCTTACTTAGTTTATATATAACGTAAATATTAAATTGGTTAATATATTTTATAGCTCTAATAAGTTTTTTATTATTAGTATTGTTCGCGGTTGAATTTGCGATGTCGGCTTGTTTTTAAAGTTCGATAATTATAAAGTAGTTTATAATAATTGTCGTGGTTAATTGTGATACCGTAATCTAGTATTTATATTTCTTAAGTACTTAGATAAATCCGAGCGTTTTTATCTTAGTTGGTTAATATCTTTTTTTTATTAATAATGGAGTTTGCGATAAGTAGGATATAAGTTAGATAGTTGATTTTGGTAGAGGTTTAGTAAGCTTGTTATTGTTGTTTACGATTGTCTTTAATATGTTAAAGTTGATATGGTAAGCTATGGCTTTAATGCCCGTGGCTATAGCGTCGAAGTTAATAAATAATAGTTAAGATGGATCGTGATGGTGTAGCTTGATTTTATTTAATAACTTACTACGGACTTTTTTAAATGCTTATTATTCGGTGTCGGTAGTTATAATAGAGATTAACGTTATCTATTTCTTGCGGCCGGGATCTTTATTAGTGATGCGTTTACCGTCTTTTATCCGTTGTTAGAGTAGATCCGTCTTGAGTTATTTAAAGGGTTTTATGATATTAGCGTATTATAATACGTTATTATAAAGGTATCCTGCGAGTTTAATAAACATTTTAAGATCGCGTAGTGTCGTAAAATATCAAAATCGTCAAATAGCGTCTAGTTTTTTAGTTATCGTCGATAGGCCGAAAGCGTCGACGTGTTGTCTAAGAATAGTTATACCTAGGAAAGCTAAGAAAGTTTTAAAGGGGTTGACGCTAATATTCTTTTCTTATAAAAGTTAAAATACGTCGGCAAGGTCAGTAATATATTGCTTAAGGGTGTCTAATCCAATTACGATATTATCGTAATACGATTAGGCTAGTATATTCGTAAATAATACGTCTATTTATCTTTAGATATATGCGTTACTATTTTTATATCCTATAATAATATAATTAAATATATATTATCCTTTTAGAGTGACGATAGTGAATACGTCGCGAGATTCTAGGTAGACTAGCTATTAATAGTAAAAGGAGCTAGCGTCTATAACTATTATATATTTTTTATATTTTATAGTATTAAAAATGTCGTCTTATAATCGCATAGGATAGCTATTAAATAAAACGATTTTATTAAGTCCTTAAATATTAATTACTATGCGGCCTTTTTGTTTTTTATCGACTTTATATTAAATAATAAAAACTAAAAATAAAAAAAGTACGGAATTTATTATATATGATAATCATCGTTATTTAATCAGCTTGTCTAATTATTTATAAACGACTTTTTTTTTTATTAACGCCGAGGTAATAGATTTTATAGGTTTTAAGTATTTCTTTTTCTTAACCTAATTTTAATATTACTCGCATCTACTAATCTTATAGGACGTTGGTGAAACCGGTGTTAATGAAAACGTCTTAGAAGTAGTCTAAGAGTGGTATAAATGCGTTAGCTTCGTTTATTCCGTCGTGTATCGTGATTCTATTAGGGTGTTTTTTAACAGGGTCGGTTAGAACGACGTTAATTAGCTTAGGTACAGCAGCGTCGTTGGTTTTGCCGTCGGCTATAGTGCCGTAGTTAACTACTAGGCTGCCGTCGTCGTTAATAATTTACTAACAGTAGGCGTCTTCTATAATAAAGTTAAGGGAGCCGACTCTGGCTTTAGCGG